CGAATCAACTCCACGGCCATGCGGGTCGACTCCCCGGGCCTCACAACTCCAGGAGGCGGAGAAGCCAAGCTCCGAATTTGACAGGACTTTTTCCCCCGCGGAGATGTAAGGGTTAAGGTTTAGGCTTGACGATTCAGGCTTTAGGGTTAAGGGTTTAGTAGTTATCAGTGTTCTGGAGCACAATTTGAAGGGGCTCTTTCACAAAGAAAGAAGAGCTAGACAGAGAGAAAGAGAGCAGAAAACCAAAAACAGAGCACGATCATTGCCCCTTACATAATGACAAGGTCCTCATGCTATGCCTTGGGATTAGGTCCTCTACCGGCTATGAGGGAGTCTCTGGCCCCTACGGAGGCCTCAAGCTCTCGAAACCCTGTAGAAAGCCCTAGAAAACCCCTTGTAAAGCCCCCCCAAAGAGACCCGTCCTGGACCCGTAGACCCTGAACCCTGAACCCCAAACCCCTAAACTCTAAGCCCTAAGCCCCCAAAAGGAGCGCGGGAGCAAAATTGCCAGTGCCTGGGGCCCATCGAGCCGAAGACGGGCAGCGTCTGAAACCTGGACCCAACCGAAGAGAACCCTTCTGAGCATGCATTTGTGTCAATATGTACACCGGTATATGTACATATGCCTATACATATACATATACATATACATATACATATACATATACATATACAGATACACATACAGATACCTATACATATACATATATATATATGTATATGATACACAACGCATTACATTATATGTGTCTACGTGTAAGACATATACATACATACATACGTACAGACAGACAGACAGACAGACAGACAGACAGACAGACAGACAGACAGATGTGTGTATGTATGTATATATATATATAGTGTATATATGTGTGTGTATATATATATATATATACATGTATACTGTACACACTGTACATGATGCAGTAGGGTGATGGGGTTTAAGAGGGTTTTGCTTGAGGCTGACGGGCTTGAGGGCGCGCAGTGAAAAGGTTCAGAGTTTGAAAGGGTTGAGGGTTGGGAGGAAGCTGATAGCCTACGTAAAGGGTAACACGGCTTCGGGTCTCATGAGGCTAGCGGCCCGGGGTTTCGGCTTAGGACTCAGGGTGGATCGCGTCTATGGCTGCAGCACGGCCTATGCTCATCGCCGAGAGGCTGCAAGGCGCAATGAGTGGCGATGTGCTCAGCCAGCTCGATTTTCCCCAAACCTGAGAAGCGGCCGAGAGTCCCAGGTCGTGGGGTTCAGACTTTGGATCGTGGTATACTTGCAGGCTTCCAATGGGGATTTTTGAAAATCATGGAACAATGAACAAGGATCGCTGCCATGATCTTTTGATATGACTAACTGACTAACTAATTCACCATTGCTTGCTTTGTGGTTGGAACTCCCCATTCATGTCTCGAATGCATGTACTTTGACGGATCAGAATGGTTCATCAGTGTTCTGATTCCTATTGCCATTACGGTTTTCCGGGCTGTAGTACTGCTGTCACCAACATTGCTTGATGTTAGACTGTGAAGACGACCACCATGACGACGACGACGACAACCACTACGACAAACATCCGACTGCCCGCAGGTTCACGGATGACCACAATGCACTGCTTTGACTCCTAGTCGTGCTCCTTCTCCTCTCCATTTCACATCAAGTCCTGTCCGACCTACTCCAAATGCTATTCCCGCTCCTACCAATCCTGCTGCTACTAACACTGCTGCTGCTGCTGCTGCTGCTGCCGCTACTACTCCTCATCTTCCTGTTCCTCCTCCTCCTCGTCCTCCTCCTTACTACTGCTACCACTACCACCACCGCCACGACCACCATGACCTGTACCGCTACCGCTACCACTACCACCATAACTACCACTATCACTACAAGCACTGCACCGGCCACCACCACTGCCTCTGCCACAGTCGCTACCGTTGCCAGAGTTGCCAGTACAGTACCCCAACTGCTACAACGCTTCTATTGCTCTTGCCATTGCTACTGCCACTGCTGCTGCCGCTCTTGCTGCTACTCCTGCTGCTGATCCTACAGCTGCTGCTATTACTCCTGCTGCTGCAGCCGCTACGATTTCCAATAGTTCTTTCTTAACTCGTCGCTAGGGTCGGCATGCCATGGCACCAAAAGGTTGATACGTGGCAACAGATCGCGATACGTGGCAACCTGTCTCTACGGTAAATTCAGCACTACCGAGGACGCAACCGTTCGCACCTTCGATGACGACCAAACCTCCCTCGGCGAAGGGGCTGTTTGCCGGAGCCTGCAAGCTCTGGAGCTGCAGGATTTAAGATTTTATAGGGTGTGGGGATTTATGGTCTTCGGGGGCCTTGGATCCTCAGGCTGGCTGGCCTTGGGTGTAGAGCCCTGCACTTCGGGGCTTGCATTCTTTTGGGCTTCTAGAGGTGCAGAATCTCGGGTTTGAGGGTGCCAACGTCAAGAGGTCCTTGGGAGGGGAAACCCAAGGATAGCACAGCACCAAAGACCGCGAGATCCCCAAACTGACGAGTTGGGCTTGAGGACCATACCTCGAAGTATGCAGATCTCGACCTAGGAGCCAAAGCCTAAAACCCGAGCTCCCGAACCTTAAACCCTGAACCCCTTTTTAAAACCCCTCACCGAGAAACCCTAAAAAGCCTAAACCAAACTGAGAATGCACAAATCCTAATTATTCAGCCGCTACAACCCTCATGAGATCCTAGATAAAACAGCTTCTGACCAGCCGCTCCGCCTTCATGCGAGGGGTTGGCGTGGAGGCCCCGACAACTTGGTCCGGTGCGTGCAAGGCCTCACAGGTTAAGGCTGTATACGCT